TTAATGGTACTAAGGATTATTTGTAAAAGAAATTATGTGATCGGCTATTTTTAAAAAAAGAACAAAAGACAAAACAATAAATGATTATAAATGAGAGCACCTATAAACAAAGCAACCTCCTTTTATTCCTAATTTATACTGATAATAATGATGTTTAATTATCATGCCAATTTGCAATAATAAATTAATTAATTATTGAAGTACTCAATTTTTTTTAATTCAATAATATATTAATATTTTAGTTGATAGACCAAGGAGTACTACTGCATTCGGGCTCATATTGTCGTGATTTTTGGAATTTACTTGATGGTATCGTCGTCTTTTGCGCTCTTGTCGCTTTTTCATTTGCGTAAGCTTTTTTAATTATAATTTATAAACATATTGTTTTTTTTAAATTGATATATATCTTTGAAACAAATTTGCAATTTTATTTTTAGATTAAAATTCCAAAAAAAATATCTTATTTCATTTTATTTTGTTTTTTTTACAGTGGCGCTGAAGGTTCAGCTGGCAAGAATTTGAATACTATCAAATCATTAAGGGTACTACGTGTACTAAGGCCACTTAAAACAATTAAACGAATACCAAAACTAAAAGTTTATATTTTCTTTTTGTACTTTAAATTTTTTTTTCAATTTTAAATTTAACAAATTATTTTTATAATTGTTGAATAATTTTTATATTAAAATTATTTATATTTAGGAAGTAAAACATTTCAATAATTTATTATAATTATTATTAAGCGATATTCTTTTATTGATAATCAGATTATTTATATTCAAGAAGTGAATTATTCCAATAATTTATTATTATTATTACTATTATTAATTATTATTTATTATTATTAATTATTATTAGTTATTATCATTATAATTAAGCGATATTCTTTTATTGATAATCGAATAATTTTAATAATCTTGCCATAACATTTATGCTCCAATTATCAAATAACAATTACGAAGAAAGTTAATAATTAAAGTACACGTAAAACTTTTGTAATTGATAAAAATGATAACAATTTATTTCCAGGCAGTATTCGATTGTGTGGTAAATTCGCTAAAAAATGTTTTCAACATTCTTATCGTTTACATTTTATTTCAATTCATTTTTGGTGTGATAGCTGTACAACTTTTCAAAGGGAAATTTTTCTACTGTACGGATAAAACGAAACGTTTCGCACGTGAATGTCACGGACAGTATTTTGTTTTCGATAGTCCGGTAGATATTTTTATCTTTGATATTTCTATTTCTGTTATTCTTTCATTTATTACAAATGAAGGAAAACAAAGATGAGATTTGAAATTATTATCTTTAAATTATCTAAATGATGATTTTCAAATTTTTTAATGTTTTTTATAAGTGAAAATAATATCAGTTAAATTATGATAATAATGAATATTATCATTGATAAAAATTTTTAACGAAATATGAGTAATGTTAAATTAATGAGGTGAATTAATTATTATCATTGTTGTGCTTAAGAAATGATTCATTAAAAGAAAATTTTCAAAAAAATAAACAATGGAAAAATATTTTGATTCAGTAAATGAAAGAGAAAGGAAATGATGGAAATATTTTTATTTTAATTTAATTAAAATTATTGTTATTATTTAATTGTAATAATAATTGCTATTATTTAATAAGTAAGCGTATTTATGCTAATATAAAAGTAGAATAATAATATATTACATATTTTATTATATTTATTTGTTTCCTGAAATGAGAAAGATAAATTAAGAATTAGCTGCTAAAATGGAAATACGACGTTGCAAATTGTTATCACCTAAATTATTCCCGGGAATATCACCGTGTGAATGTATTACATGTACTGTGTTGGTATTGAAAAAATTTTGCTCAGATTCTGATTCAAATATTTCTCGAAAGAATTCTCCATCACCAATTAGGGCATCAAATGTTTCATCCGGATATAGCGTTATCATAAGTATCGCTTCCGTGATAAATAATGGTACACCAATCTTTATTGATAGCGTCATAAATGATATATCTTCGTGTGAATATCTAAATTATATTATTGTAAAATAGTACTGATTAAGTAATATCAAATTTGATAATATCATAAATATACTTTTGAAATTATGAAATTTTACTCAAAATCATAAATATTTGTTGGAATTAAAAAGGTGCTGTTGAAATGAAGCACTTTATAGCTATTCCGATGAAAATTGCATTTACAACAATACATCCAGCAATGAATCGTGATAATTGATTGGGTATCATAATTGATCCAGAAAAAGCTACCACCTTTTAATAGTCAATCATATAAAACTGTTTAAATTGATTAAAATTCTTCGTTTTATATTTAGCTATAGAAGATAAATTTATTTGAATATTTCATGATATATGGATAATTTGTAAGTTTTTGTTTCAGGATGATTTGCCACGTGTTGAAACACGTGAATGGCGTTTACGTCCGTTTAATTATGATAATACGGTGAATGCAATGCTAACATTATTTGTTGTAACAACAGGAGAAGGATGGCCAAGTATACGACAAAATTCGATGGATACTACTGGCGAAGATGAAGGACCATTACCATTTTATAGGGTTGAGGTAAATGCAACATTTATGATATTTCATTTATGGATGAGAAATACGAAAAGGCAAAAATCAAAGTTATATTATATTAATGATACTTATGATTGCTTTTCAAAATTATATTATATTAATGATACTTAGGAATGAATCGAAATTTGAAAATTAAAAAATGAATTTTCCATTTGAATTTATGTTTAAAGAATTTCGATTATAATTAATACTATATATTACCCATTAAAATACCATACGTTAAAATAATATTATATAATATTATTTTAAAATATGTACGCTTTAGTAAAATTTTAAACTTACCTTAAAAAGAATACAAAGTCGTACAAAGAAAAGAAGAACAATCACATGAAACAATGGTAACAGTAATTAAAATTTTAATTTTTATTTTCACATCATTTAATTTTATAATGCTTACATACTAGGTAATTTAGTTATTTGTATGTTAATTTGATCGGATGAGTTTATTTAGTTATTTGTTCATAAGCTAAACATCTACTATTATCATTTGCCTAATTACTTAATTTTATTTAATTACTTATTTATTACTTAATTACTTAATTTTATTCATTTTCACTCATTGCTTCCTTTACATATACAATTGGATTTTGCATACTTTTGCAAATCCAAATGGCTTAATTTCATTCTTTTATTCACTGTAAGTCATTAATCTTTATTAATGAGCAAATTAATTAATTTAAATTTTAAATGATGAGAAATAAGTGATGAAATTTTTACAGATGGCGCTATTTTATGTAATGTTTTTCATCGTATTTCCATTTTTCTTCGTAAATATCTTCGTTGCATTGATCATTATTACATTTCAAGAACAAGGTGAAGCTGAACTTTCTGAAGGTGATCTTGATAAGAATCAGGTAAGTGAAGTTATGTTTATTTGCTTCTTAATGAAAATTACAGTAATTAATATGTTTTCATTGATTGTTCAATGCAAATTTACAACATTAAGTTTTTGTTTTCATCCAATTCATCTTCATTATCCAAACCAAAGAAATTAATGAAAACGTATTAATTACTGTAATTGTTCGGATAAATGAAGAAATAAAACAAATAAATGAACTTACCTGTTTTTTTCTTAAACTTTCTTAAATTTAATTTAATTAGATAATTGGTTTAATTACTATCAATATTTAGAAGCAATGTATCGATTTTGCATTAAATGCTCGTCCACGATCGTTATTTATGCCAGAGGATAAGAATTCGATGAAATATCGAATCTGGCGGCTTGTTACTTCGACCCCATTTGAATATTTCATTATGGCAATGATTTGTTGTAATACAATTATTCTAATGATGAAGGTCCCATATATTTTATTATTCTCAAAGTGAAAGAATGCAAAATTTTGTTGAAATATACAAAGAAAAAGATTTTAGAATAAAATATTGCAATTTATTGGAATATAAAAATTTTACTGAAATACGAAAAGATTTAAAAATATTACTAAAATACAAAATGGAAAAACTATTCTGTTAATTTATATTTATTTAATTAGGTAATTATTCTAATACTTAATTTGAATATATAATTTGTATTTATTTAATTATGTAATTATTCTAATACTTAATTTAAATATGTAATTTATATTTATTTAATTATGTAATTAGAATATGTAAAATATTTTAACGTAACCATTTACTCATTCTAATAATAATTATTCTAATACCTATTTTAAGTAAGATATTTTGACAGTAATCAGTAATCATTTACTAATCATTTTTCGTTTTTGAAATTAATTATTTAAAATACTTTATATGGTTTTTTTTTTGCTATATTTACTATAATACATTTATTATAATATGCAAAGTTAATTTTTTGTTTTTCTGTCATTAATTTAATATTACTGTCATTAATTTATAGTTCCATGGAAACTCGGAATTCTATGAAAAAATTCTACGTTTTTTTAATACCGCATTAACGGCAGTATTCACGGTGGAATCAGTCCTAAAAATATTAGCATTTGGTGTTCGGGTGAGTATGCTTCGATTGTTTCTTATTAAGTATTTAATTATTTGAAAATTTTTGTTTATATCTTAAATTAAAGTAAACTTTTTCCTAATTTTTCATATATTAAAAAGAGTAAAAATTTTTTTTAAATTATTATGAAATTTTAAATGTACCAAAACTATTACAAATTTAGGAATACAGAATCGTAATTCCGTTATTTATTTTTAGGATTAATTTCAATTTTCAATAAAAGTTGTAAAATACAGTAATTTGCGTGAATATCATATTTAAGCAATTATTGAAGAAATTTCGCTCCTTTGTTTTTTCTCGTCGATAATTTATTTTATTTATTTTATCACATTAATTTTTATAAGTATTATATGCTTAATTTCTTACCTATTAATTGTTTCTAGCAATTAAAATTTTAAACTTTAATTTTATTAAGGTATTTTCAGAATTATTTTCGAGATGGTTGGAATCGTTTCGATTTTATCACCGTTGTTGGTTCCATTACAGATGCATTGGTTACCGAATTTGGTGGTCATTTTGTATCACTCGGATTTCTACGTCTTTTTCGTGCTGCCCGTCTAATAAGACTTCTACAACAGGGATATACTATAAGGATATTATTATGGACGTTTGTTCAATCATTTAAAGTATAATAACTTTGAGATTTTTATCAAGGAAATTATAAGGCTTGCTAATGCTTGTTAGGGCCTTTTTTAATCATTGTTAGCAAATTTCTAGAATACGAAAAAACTTGAACTTTAACCTTTAAACTTGCTTGACATCCTTATTTCTTTTCCAATAATTTCAGGCTTTACCATATGTTTGCTTACTAATTGGAATGCTCTTTTTCATCTATGCTATTGTTGGAATGCAGGTACCACAATTATTTTTTCATTCTTTTTTACTTGACTTAATTAATTACACTAAATGATTCGTTCAAGTTATTATTCAATTAACCGATATTTCATCAATTAATTAATTGCTAACTATTAATTAGTTGATAAATTACAATTTCATCAATTATTTTTTAACTATATCTTACTCACCTATACATTTCTATATGCCACTGCATTATATTCTGATTGAAAAATGCAAGTTAATGCATTATTTTTTGTTTAATTCAAAATATTTCAGGTGATATTAAAGAAATTGTGTTTAATTTGCTAGAACAATAACGTAAAGAATAATATGCTAAAATATTAGCGTAACGAATAATATGCTAAAATAATAATGTAACGAATAATTTGTTAAAATAATAACGTACGAATAATTTGCTAAAACAATAACGTAATGCAATTTTAATTTATCTTATCTTGACATTGTCGTGGTATAATTAAATTTCACATAATTTATATTATATTAAGGTATTTGGTAATATTTGGTTAGATGCAACTACCGAATATAATAGACATAATAATTTTCAATCATTTTTTAACGCTATCATTCTTCTTTTTCGGTAATATATTTTTTGCTCATTTTACTATTTAATACTGCTGTCACTAATTCACTTAACAATTTGTTTACTCATTTTAAAGTTTACCTTTGTTTATTCATATTAAATTTGTTTTACCTTCGTTTAATCATATCAGATTTGTTTTAAATTTTAAACTTTTTTACTGCAATTAACTATGAGAACTTATTCATAGAAAATGATCTGTTCATTTAATTTATCTTTTTCAGTATTGCATTTAATTTCAAATTAATTTATAAATATCTTTTGATGTCTTTTAAATCTGCAACAATTCAGATTTCATCATTTTATCTTTAAAAACTTATTTATTATCATACTGAAACAAAAGATAAGAGAAAGAGAAGGTGGGAAAGTTGGACTTTAAAACAATTGATATGATAAAATAACGTTTTTAATCTAATATACGATAAATCCTTTTGAAATTTGAAATTTAAGGAGAAGTATGGAAAATTTCTGAAAATAGAGAAAGAAAATAATCCAACCTAAAATATACGTCTGTCAAAATGACAAACAAAATGACAAAGATAGACAATTTGATTGTTTGCAGGTGTTCCACAGGTGAAGCATGGCAGGATATAATGATGGCATGTACGGCAGGGAAGTATTGCGCGAAACCGAATTCATTTGAAATTAATTTAGCTAAAGGACCAACTTGTGGTACTCAGATGTCCTACGCATATTTTACAACATTTGTCTTTCTATCTTCATTTCTGGTAATTCTAATTTCTTGAATTTGAAATAGAAATTTGTATATATCATATTAAGATAATGCTCAATAATGCTTAAACAGATATATATTTACCTATCTCGATAATATTTTGACATATTAATTGTCTTGATAACATTTAAACAGACTTGTGTATTGCGTATCTCAATCATACTAAAACAGATGCGTATTAATCATGTTATACTGTTATGTAAGAATCTCAAAATTATTCATATAAGGCTACTTTCTTACCATTATTATAGTTACTGTACTGATACATCTAATGTACGGTAATTTCAGTAGGATCAGTAAAAGATCCTACATTAGTTTTTAAAAGAAATTGAAATCAAATAATCAAGTGATTAAATAATTTTAATTTATTTGGAATGAAATAATCAAATAAATTAAATGATCAAATGATTGAAATTTAAGTATCTCAATTTTTTCTCAACGATAGCTTTCCTTTCCCTTTGCATACTATTTTTTAAAATAAGGATTATGATTATGATTATGATTATGATTTGAAAATGATGACTTGCTTCTTTTTTTAGATGTTGAATTTATTTGTTGCTGTAATAATGGATAATTTTGATTATTTAACTCGTGATAGCTCAATTCTTGGACCTCATCATTTGGATGAATTTGTTCGAGTTTGGGCTGATTATGATCCAGCCGCTACGTTAGTTATTTTAGTTTTACTTTAAGTGTACAGGTAGAAAAATAACAAAATTTCGAAGTTTTGAGATAAATGGATAATTGGTTAGTTGGGCTAAAAGTGAATAAACTTGGAATTGTCTTGTCCAAAAATTTAAATCAATTCAGGTTTATATGGAATATAATGATATTTGAACATATGAGATCATCCGGGCAAACATTTAGTAAGCTAGAAATTGTCGTAAATTTTATAGCGGCAGTACGGTGATGTTAATTTATTGAACTATGATAGTTTGCAAGTACGGTAGATCAATAATTGACATTTCACGTAGTTCCGATACTCTTAGTAATTGAAAATTAATTCACATGAACATGTATTAGTAATTTTTTGAGAAGAAAATAAAGAAAACTATAATTTTTAGCGGACGAATGCATTACACGGATATGTACGAGATGCTACGTAATATTACGCCACCGGTTGGATTTGGCCGTAAATGTCCGTATCGTTTAGCCTACAAACATTTGATACGAATGAATATGCCAGTAGCAGATGATGGTACCGTACATTTTACAACAACACTATTTGCATTAATACGAGAATCGCTTAGTATTAAAATGAGACCTGGTATGTAATCATTCGCTTATAATATTTATTAAAATTTGATGAAATTTTACAGACATATAGTGTTTTGAAATACATTATTGATTAGCTCAAAGTTCAGAGATGCTGTAATATGCTTTTTGTAAAACTTTTCCAAACTTCCAATAATAACACCAGAATTTTATATTTTAAATTTGATGTCTAGTAAAAATAGTTCTATTTAATAATTATAAAAAAATGATAGGAGCAATCAAATAAATGGTTCTTCTGTATTAAATTTAAACTCTCATATGTCGGGGAAAAAATCTAGGACTTTGTAGCAAAGAAAAATTAAGGAAATGCTAAAAGATAGAAAATGATCATTGAAAATTCTATTTGCAAATGTTTCAGTAGAAGAAATGGATGAAGCAGATGAAGAGTTACGTCAAACTTTACGAAAAATATGGCCGTTAAAGGCGAAAAAGAATATGATAGATTTGGTGATACCACCAAATACAGGTTATATGCCCTTTAATATATTTTATAAAACTTATATAAAATCTTAAACGATATAAATCATACTTCAAAATAAAAGCTGAAGAAAGCTTCCACATGAAAAGTAAGATTTATTTCCTTTGAAGTTTTATACTTCTAAAGATTTTCATTTCTTGAGTGATCTGACGGTTGATTATTGTAATTATTTTGAAATAAGATTTTTTCAAAAATAATTTTAGTATAAAAGTTATTCAAGATGATAAGAACTGATTAGTTATTAGGACAAATTTAGACAATATGAAATGGAAAGTTTGCGAAATCTTATCATCAAAATCTTTCCTTTACTAAAAATTTAGAGGTGTTAAGAGTTTTTCTTTTCAAAATAAAATTTAACAAAATATGTTGTTTATGATGATGATCAAAATTTTAATAATATTAGTATTTCAGTATTAGTATTTGCTGATCAAAATTTTAATAATATTAGTATTTCAATATTAGTATTTGCCGATCAAAATTTTAATAATATTAGTATTTCAATATCAGTATTAGTATTTCAGTATTAGTATTTGCCGATCAAAATTTTAATAATATTAGTATTTCAATATCAGTATTAGTATTTCAGTATTAGTATTTGCCGATCAAAATTTAAATAATATTAGTATTTCAATATCAGTATTAGTATTTCAATATTGGTATTTGCTGATCAAAATTTTAATAATATTAGTATTTCAATATCAGTATTAGTATTTCAGTATTAGTATTTGCCGATCAAAATTTTAATATTAGTATTTCAATATCAGTATTAGTATTTCAGTATTAGTATTTGCC